GCAAAAGGAATCATTCCTGAAAGTTTCATGCCAAAACTTCAACCCTTAGGTTCCAAAATGGACGATATTCGAAAAGGGGTTGCACGTTCGCGGGGGTGGTTTGGCCGGGGTTTGTCCAATTCGAAAAAAACACATGTTACGTGTACAGGGGGTGTCCCCGGAGGATATCACGTTAGTTTTGACCATCCCGAAAACTCACCCCTTCATGGGGGTGGGGGTGAACGGGGCAGGGGGTGGGTTTGAACGACCGCGATTTCGCTAGCGCCGTTCGAAAGAGGACACAAATTTGAGTCGGTACACCAAAAATTTCGACTTTCCGATCATTTAAAGTGACAAATTCGGAACCTTTTAGGTGGAGTTTTCTACCCCTCTTCACTCTAGGGGCTGCACAGGCCGTATAGGGTGGAGCAAGGGATGCGCACTTCGTGGGGTCAAAGACGAACCTATGAGACGTCTACAGGCCAAATCTCGACATTCTAGCTCAAAATTCTTAGAAAATACGCCGGCTCAAAAAAGTGCGCCGCTAATTTTGAGCAGCAGTGTACAGTTATAGAAATATGGGGGGAATATGTGGAAAACTGCAGCTGCTTTAAAGCGAACCAAACGTGCACAGACTTATGTACTTGTCCCTGCAGAGTAAATGTGCGTGTCCCTGTAGAGTAAAGAGTCTCGTACCAAAGCATCTTGTATAAATAAAAATTACTTTCTATTGAATAACAGAATTATACGTTGCTTGAATTATGTTTACCTTTTTGGAGTGTTCTGCACAATAACATTGACTTGTCCTGGACACAAAGGCACACACACACGCGCACAAGAACTTCTGACGGGCGTGCGTCTTTTAAAGAAAAAGGCGAAGTGATCTACCTATTTTTCGACGGCCCTGATGGAACTCCTGGACAGCGTCTGGATAGGATCCCTATCCAAGATCTATCCACATTTTCTCATTTTGGACGGATCCTGGACAGACTAATCCTGTCCGAATGGCATCCAGTAGGCATCCTATCTGTCCTCGAGGCAGTCCGAGACGGGTCCGTGCGTGTCCGGGGTTGTCTCCAGAATTATCCGGGCGCGTCCAGGGTGCGTCCGGACGCATCCAAGATTCGTCTGGCCGTATCCAGGGTACATCGTGACGTATCCGGGAATAGTCTGGGTACGTCCGGCATCCGTCCGAGGTCTCGCCCGGTTGATCCAGGACGTATCCGTAGGTATCCGAATGTATCCAGGACGCGTCCAGGCGTGTCCGGTGGGCGTCTGGGTGTGTCCAGGACTTGTCCACACGCAACGTAACGTATCCAGACCGCGTCCGGATTTGTCCTGACGTATCCTTGACGCGTCCAGGATCATCCACGATGCGTCCGTACGCATCCAGGCCCATCCAAGGGCCGTCCTGTCCGTGTCCAAAAAGCATCCACCGGATGACTGCTGTCCCCAGTACATCCCTACACCCCTCTGTTCTTCAGTTATCTTACAGTTTCTCAACTAATGGCCTTCCTGAAGTATTGAAGAGTGATGACTACCTGGTATTCCGTCTTTAGTATTGATGATGCAGATTTGGACGTTTTTCTGGTGTTTAACTCCACGTCCTTGGCTGGGATCGAACCCGCGACTTTCGGATTAGAAGTTCAATACGCTAACCCCTACGCCACGAAGGTGCTGACATAGATGTTGCATCAACAACTATATATTAAACGCGCAGCCATCCACGAGTTATCCAGCAGCAGAGCGAATCGAATGTTATCCATCAAACGTCCTGACGCATCTGTAGCTAAGTTAGATTGGCATCCAGTAAGCGTCCGGACGTATCCAGACGTATCCAAGTCACGTCCGGACGTATCCTGTGGTATCCAGGACCATTAACAGCTCGAAAAGTAATAATTTAGCTAGTTTTTAGCCCGCCCTTCTGCTTTTAAAAAAGCATTAAAGCGGGCTTATGCAACCGCTCTCGTGTC